CCCCCTGCTGCACCCTGCACACCTCCTGCACCCCACACCCCAATTCCCTGCCGTACCCTGCACACCTCCTGCACCTCAACTCCCTGCCCTGAGCCCCCGCCACACCCCACACCCCTCCTGCACCCCCTGGGGGCAGGGAGGGGGCAGAGTTGGGGTGAGGACTTCAGGGAGGGGGTTGGAATGGGGGCAGGGAAGGGGCAAGAAGAGGCAGGGCAGGGGCAGGGCCTCATGGAAGGGGTGGAGTGGGGGCGGGGCCAGAGGCAGCAAGTGGCGGGTATCAGTGATGCGGCCCTCGGGCCAATGCACTAGTCCTCATGCGGCCCTCGAGGTCATCTGAGTTTGAGACCCCTGATCTAGCCCCCGTGCCCTGGGTGCGGACTGCAGTCTATCAGCCAATCATCACAGGCAACAAGGGGTTTGGACTGGCTGCCTTTACCCACCCTCAGGCTGCCCCTCTGCAACCCCAATACCTATGTGGGGCTAGGACCAGGCCCTGCAGCCTAGGGCTTCCCAGTCCCCAAGGCCTTTCCCCAGCCCTGCCTCACTCTAGGTCCCCGGTGAGTTCCCCAGCAGCCAGGCCTGTCTCTCTCTCCAGTCAGAGCGAGACTCCTGAGCTTCTGGCTGCCCTGACATTCTTATAAGGCCGAGTTGCTCTGTCTGGGGCGTGGCCCCAGCTGCAGCCATTTCACCAGTCAGCCGGGGTTTTGCTCCTTGCCCCAGCCCCAGCCCTCAGCAGGGCTTTTCCAACCCCTTCAGGGCTGGAGCGGGTGTTCACCCCGCTACACCCCTATTAGATAAAATAAAACTCTTTTAAAACCTGGACTTTCCCTGGGGAAACACTTGACAGTAATCCACCATATCAGTGAGATAATAAGTATCACATATTTTAAACAGTCAATAATTCCACTTCTGAGTCCCCCCAGATTGATGGGCAGTAGCAAGCACCAATCCTTTCACTGCCTTCCTGTCTCTTATTACGTCAGTTTAAGCTCCTTGCATGCATTTTCAAAGTCCATTTGAATTTCACCCCCACTTACATGTCTCTTAGCTGCTTCTTTTGTCTCCTTTTAACCACCCTCAGCTGTCTTTTCTTTCATATGTCACACTATGCTTAGAATGGCCTAGCACTCCCAAGATGCACTCAGCCTCCTCTTTCAATTGCACTTCTTTCATGAGACCTTTCAACATGGCTTGCCATCTTCTGCATATGTGGTTTCCCTGTGGGTTGTATTTCCCTCTGTGAAATTGATTTTCAGTTCCTCAAGGCAGAGCCTGTCTGCTCTATGTGTTTGCAAAATGCCTTTACACATATCACTCCATTACTCCATAAATAATGAAAATAGGACACACCAAATCTACTGTTGATCTGACTGTGGGAGTGTTGGTGTTACCGCTTCTGAAGCCAGTGTCTGTACTCCAGCTCCTCCGCTTCTGTCCCTTTCTGAAGTGGTGTGGTTACTGCACAAAGACTTCAAGGATCACAATAGCAACACAGCTCCTGACTGAGCTGCAATGCTGTGGAATGGGAGGAGGGACAGGGAAGAATGCAGGTGTCTCTCTCCCCTTTAGGCAAAGGTCTGACAGAATGTGACAGAGATGAAATCAGTAGAGTTCTGCAGACATTAACTCAACAACCAGTAGAATTCAGTATTACTCCAGAGGGAATTCTGCGCCAAAATTTAAAAATTGTGCGCACAATATTTTAAAATTCTGCAAGTTTTATTTGTCAAATAAATGTGGCAGCTCCAGCATGGCGTTGGGGAGCACAACACAGAGATGGGAGATCACTGTGCAGCTCCCCTTTCTCCCC